AGATATACTGATAAAATCAACAAAGGAAAGAAAAAAAGTGGGACCAACCAGTGGCACCCAGAAAAAGAGAGATTAAATTCATAACCAAAGCCACCAATGAGAGTAAGAGGAGCATGAACAATTTATGAACAGTAACACTTGTAAGGCCGGTCCCACCCCTTGCACAGATATGATTTGACAAACGCAGCAAAAATATCAATTTGTGTATATGGATAACAAAATACGATACCACAAAAAAAACATAACACTCAACTGGACCCACAAGATATTCCAAACCATGATTCATCAAATCATATTTCCTTTCAACAAGACACAATTCTGCCCCCCCCCCCTCCTCCAAGAGAAATCAAACTAAAAATGCAACAAACCCCCAAAACCAAAAACGCAACAAGCAAGAACCCAACAAGCTTACAACCACATACAAAATGCATAACAACAATGCCCAGCATCAATTTTTATATATAGTTCAATTAACTTTGAGACGACTGAAAACAATCTTGGCAAGCAACATCTTGGTATTGACAGATCCACAGCAGCGTCGATGCTTAAGATCCAACACAAGAAGTACGGATATCTCCTGATAACTTGAGAGCACTTAGAAGTACTGATGCCTCTTTAGAAGTACGAATATCACTTGAGAGCACTTGATAAGTTAGAAGTACGGACATTTCTGAGAGGTATTAGTGTCAAAAGTACCCATATCTCTTAAGAGGTGTTAGAAGTTCTGATATCTCTTGGTAACTTGAGAGATGGATGTCTCTTGAGAGGCACTAAAAGTACCTCTTGAAAGGTGTTAGAAGTACCTATATCTCTTGAGAAGTGTTTGAGATACTGATGTCTTTTGTCTTTAAAGGTGTTAGAAGTACCGATATTGGCGAAATCTCTTGCCTTGAAGGCTGTTAAAAGTATTGATATCTCTTGACAACTTGGGGGAAGTTAAAAGTATCGATATCTTTTAGGGGTACAAGAGGTAATAACATCGAGAGAATTGGCAGCGAAACACATAACTGTCAACTTAGGAATACTTTATCCATCTCGGTGTCCATATTTGTCTTCTTTTACATCATCAAACACAGATACTCCTCTTTTGCTACCCCTTTATGTGAGTCCATGTATTTTTAAATTTCATCCAGCGCCAAAATATCTCACAGCTTTGTTGTTACTTTTTGTCCGACTTCTTTCTTCTGAGATCAACAGAAGACTGCATAAAGAAGAAACACATATTGTTACGTTGCATAACAATGAGACATAAAATACATCGTACCATTGACTTTGTCCACACACCAGACACACACATGCCACAAGACACTAGAGAAACAGCGGGCCCATATGGTATATTATAACAAAGCTGCATGAAGCACATCTGTTGACTTCTGCTCTAGTCAATACACCACATACGCACAGAACCTCACAGTATTTCCACAGCTTTGATACTAGACAGAAATTCCAATTAGAAAATGATAACTCTGATTCCTGAACTATGGACTGGTGATTCTGTCTGAACTGTTAGTACGGTGATATTATGATAGATACACAAAGACAAACAAAAACAAAAAGAAGCCATTATTACATGAGGAACTTTCATTTAACCTGAGCCCGCCTGATAGACTCCTCCAACCTTCTCTCCGGGGTCATACAATTCATCAAAATGGTGCATTTTCCTAATTTACAGTTAACAAATCGCAATTGTCTGTCAACTTTACCAGGACTAAAATAACAAAACATATTATGGAAAATCTTGTTAAAGGGCTTTTGGGGGGGGGGGGGGGGGGGAGGGTTTAGGGTCACATCTCGCTTAGAGTTCTTGAAGACAAAGTATAGTACGGGAGGATAGTCTTGAGTTATTTTCAACTAGAAGATGTAAATAAAAAAACATTTTTGGAATTAAAATGGCTCACGAAAGCTCCTCAAATACTTAATTACGAGCAACCTGATCTTGCCCAGAGTGCTTTGTGACTTTATAATGCTTAAATTCAAATGTTTAAGTAAAAACAGGTTTTAGTAAAAATAATACAAAATAATATCTTGTCCCTTTCCTGATACTCAAACCCCTCAAGTCTACTTCCAACAGATAATGCCTTCAGGTACAGCCCTAGTCCATGCTGGCAACACTCAGAACAAGTTTCCACTAGACCAATGCTTGCCAACCTGGGCAATATCGTCGCCCACTAGCAGGAAATTCGATTAATTTTGTGGGTGGTGGGAATCACCCGGCTAGAGACAGTTGCTGTTTAATGACCTTTTTGGAAATACATATAGGTCCTCATCCTCAGCCTTTCTCACCCTGCACCAGAATACAGGCCACAAACAAGAGCTCTTCGTGTACTTCAGTCTTGGGCCATAGACTTCACCTCTTTCCAGCTGTATCCCAAAATATATGTAGGTGGACGGCAGAAATTTTTTAGCCTCAAAAAGGCGGCAAAAGTGGGTGCTGGCTAAAAAAAAAGGGTTGACAAGCACTGCACTAGACAGAGTACATGTTACTGACAAACATGTTTTTAGAAATAACTGGTTGTGGGCAATAGTCATTAAAACATATTCTTCTCCGCAGAGTCACACTTCTTAAATGACTAGTTTTTGCACTGGCCAGAGAAGAACTATGTTTCAACGTACACTAAATTAAATTACAGCACAACAGAAGCTGATGAACTTGATGACAAAAAAAACAAGTATTTTTTCGAGATCTGAAGTGAAATGTGTAAGTTATTCAAGTTATTCAACATATGATTGAATCCACCAATAAGACTACGTTATAAACAGAAGAAAGGCACAGCCCCATGAACGAGAAAAACCAACACGTAGCATAAATAGAACAATGTGCACGCTAATTTAACAACAACAAAAAACAACAATCTCACCTCCCCGATTTTAACGAAATGGTAAAAATTAAAAAAACAAAACATTTTTAATCCGAAAAACGTCATGATTACTTAGTATACCTGGATGTAACAAAACGTCAATCCGTGGTGAAAAGTCAGTTTATCACTGCAAATAATAATAATTATAACTTAAAAAATGGATAACATTTGTACAGCGCAAACTCCTGCTCAACAGCAAGCTCTATGCGCTTTATGATCTATATTATTGATAAAGATGATAATGCCTTTACACCAGTAATGATTATAGTGCTCACCTTGCGAGCAAACATCTGATATCAAATCTTTTGTCGGGAGGTATCTCCACCATTATGTTATCACGATGCCCATTAGTATGCAGGGAGATACGTTTATTAATTATTTTATTATGACGTTGATCTTTATGAAGGGAGGCTATTTTATCAAGTATCCCCGTCTGTTTACTGGGGTGTGGTATCCCACAGTCCGGGTCCGTCCTGACAGGCTGAGCCAACACAGCCTGTCTCCTATATGATCTAAAATTGGCTGATGGGGGTATAAAACATAAGAAACAATCCATGTCTACAGATGAGCTTACAAGAAAGATGACTCTCTCTATATTTTGTTAAATTAAATCCAATAAATTATTTCAATCTATTCTGTCTAAGTCGAAGCACAAAATATATGACATTCTAAAATAAAATAAAAGCAACAGAATGTAGAGCAAAAACAAAATACAACACAAAGCAACCAACGGCTAAATATATATTTCAATAAAGATATAAAAATAAAACATTCATATTGACTGCTCAGTGTATGAGTTCATCATATATCACTTTTCAAAATGGGTGTATGACAGAGTTTAACACGAAGCAGTAGATATGTATTTTGCATTTAGAACAAAAAAGTGCAAAAATGAACCAGGTACTTAAAAGGGATGGTATGGGTAAGAAAAAAATAAAACATTCTAGAAACGTAATGAACACTTATGAAACTAAAAACCAGTACAAAGAAACCCATGCAATAACATTACTGCTGAACAGAACTATTAAATCAACACCCAAAACATGTATAACAATAAACAAAACATAATCTTATTCATGAGCAAATAAAAGAATTGAAGTTGGTAAATAAGTCAATACTATCAATTACACCTCCACGTAGCCGACAAAATAAAACACAATTTGACTTCAAAATATAATCTAGCACTGAACCCCGAAAAGTATAAAAATATATACCGACTTTTAAAAATTTAGTAAGTGCATAAATCAAGGTATATCCTTTAGCAAAATAGAAATAAAATATTTCCTCTTTCTGCTCCCTTGACAAGAAAGGTGAAGTTCACTGATGAGGTGCTGTCCCACAGGGTTAGACTTCTACAAGGCTAGATATCTCATGGATTTCTGCTCACTGTAGCTGGATGGATTAACTCTTCTCTTGTTCTTGGTATGTTCAGTTGTCGTTGGTACACAGAGCCGGCTGCTACAAAGGGGCAAATCCATTTGTGAGACAGTAGTCATCCTGCATGGGAGTACAATCAAGATAAAATAAGACAAGATAAGATAAGATAAATCTTCATAGTCCAGATGCTGGCACACTGGTTTGGTGTTTCTCCATCTGCACACACAAACACACATACGCACACACACACACACACACACAATCAAATCATGTTATTCTCAGCCATTACATGGGAGAAAAAAGCCAGGACCACATAGAGGGAAGCATATGCACCAAGCGTTACTCAAATCCTAAGTTTGTAAAAAAAAAAAAACCCTACAAAACAACTATACTTTAAAGTTTGAAAGGACAGAAAATTCCACAGGGATTTATTATAATGAAGCATAGCTGCCAAGTTTTCAAAATTAAAAAACAGATTTTCATCGCGCAGTCGGCGAAAGAGACCAGTTCTTACTTCAAAAAGATACCAAAAGACAACTTGTACTCAAATGATAAGCACACCACAGACACAAGCATGCTGTGCAGCCAGATTGATAAGATGGCAGGGGCATCCAATGGCAAAAATGTCTGGCTGGGATTCCCTAAGCTTTGTTACAACTCCATTGTTTTGTCCCTATCATCACTGAAGCATTGTCTGAACTCAAAGAGATGCAGTGCATAAAGGGAACACCTAAGGTTTCTAATTCTGTCAATACAAATCTCCTATGTTAACACCACTTGACGGACCATTGTCATTGAGGACATCGGCACACCTTGTTTGTAGAAAGCATGTTTGTTTGGTAATTTCAAAGCAGTGATGAAGTTGTATTCCTCTGAATACTTGACACAGAAGGTGTGTTCACGAGGTTTTGCCTTAGAACTGGTTGGTTTTAAAAACGCATCCATCACTTGAAAGCACAACGCGCGTCCGTGATCAAAGAAATAGTTTTAAGCTCCTGCGTGCAATCATCACAAAGGCTGCCCGCAACACACACACACGATGACCCGTGACCTGTGACCCGTGACCCGATGTGAATGAATGAGAAACAAAGAAGGCCCGTAGGCAGACCTGCCACTCAATGAAATCTAAAAATCAAGATTTTAAAGTTTAAAAAATCAGGATCTAGAGTCTAGATCTGGTGAAAAAAAATCGGAATCAACGGCAAATAAGTCATAAGGGGCACTGGGGAAAAGGGGGTGGGGGTGGTCCCGGTTCTTTATGAGGCGAGTATGCAAGACAAAGCTTTTTGAAAACTGAAAGACAGCATTATTATATGTACTCGAATCGGAGTTGGATAGACTGGGGGAGCGCAGGTAGCACTAAATCTGAAACTCTCGTAGTCTTGAAAATAGCTGACACATAACTCCAATCATCCAGGAAAAAAGTCTGCGTTTTCATACAGTAACAACGTTTGACTTCCATCGCATATACACATAAGGTACCCCCCCCCCGGAAAAAAGATCGCGCCAAGGTTGTTCATTTATTTTTTTCTTATTCCTTTCCCCTCAATTAGTCTGTATCACGGCACGCACTTTAAGCCCAAGTGTCAAAAAATAACCCCCCCCCCCGGC